GCTCTGGTGCCGGTTGCGAAGGCTTTCTCGAAATGACCGACATGTTGACGGTGCGTGCATTATGTGTACTTTACCATCTATTACCCACCTTCAAACTCAGGTAATGCTTAGCTATTGCACATTAGCGATGATGAAATTCTTCAGTCGAGAAACTGACGATATGGTTTCAGCTTGTAGCGGCATCACTTACTGTGCTGCCACTTGAAGCTGGGTCTGCTCTCACGTGGGAAGAATTTTCTAGATGTGCACCTAGGCTGTCGCTAATCGAGGGGCTTGCACTACGAATGAACTGCGCGGATCGCAAGGGTGGAGTACCCGAACTTTGCGACCGAATCTGTCCGTCCTGGTCGGAGAAGCAGTAAATGAAACATTTCAAGAGCAGCATTACTGATCTGCGAATAAAGATAGAGTACTGGAAGCATACTGTATCCCGAAAAGGTTCCAATAGCACTTATATTTTCAAGCCCCATTTGTACCCACCATATCGGGGGGATAATGAGGCCGTTTGTATCTAGTATCATTAACTGATTCTGTTTATCGGAGGGTAAGGAGCTCCCACATGTTCTGGTCTCAATAAATACCGTGGTGACATGCCGTGTCATGCTTTACCGTGGCTATTGTTGACTAGGGCTGTTGAGCTCCATGGAAGCCCGTGGCACACTAGCGTTTAGGGCCTAAAAGCTTCAAGACCGTGGACAACTATACTGTACAGTAACATTACCACCTCCAACATTTCCGCTTTACGGTAACGGAGACTCATGGGATAGGCAGCCTTTCCTAAGTTTCACCTATCGTGAGGATCGAGATGCCAAAGGTGGCCGGACGACAGAAGACCAAGAGCATCGACACCACATCCAGCTTATCGACATGTCCAAGCATTCTTCACCGCTTGATCGAGTCATTGATTCAGGGAGAAAAGGACACCACGCATTATCCTTCACGCTGCTCGATTCCAATCGAGACCTGCCAAGCCGAGCCCTATGACAAATATTCAAGGAGAGAGCCTACCCAGACAGACTGCCATGCAGCCAATTTCCAAGTGGATTATATCAAGCGTTCTAGATACGATGGGAAACGCCAGATGGTGCTGTATGAAGTTAAATGGCTTGGGTACCCAGACTCTGAAAACACTTGGGAGCCAAGAGAAAACTTACTTCCGTAAGTCTGCGATACTATATGTCTGGAGTTCTTCTCCGCATTAACAGTTCGTAGAAATTGTTTTATCAATCTTCTAGTTCACCATTACCTCCTCGGATTGTCTCGAAAAAATCGGCCGTACGACGTTCGAGTAGTGTCGAGCAAGGGTGTCAGTAGCGCAGAAAGAATCGTCGGCAAGGAGAATTTCACTATGCATCTCGATCGTATAAGCCAGGTGCTTCAAGCTAACTGGGAGCAAGAAGTGGAAGAAGTCATAGCAATAGAATTTCCATCAAACAGAGAGCCCATGGCAGTCGTTAGGATCAGTAGTGGGCAGAAGTGCACCGTGTCCACAGAATGGCTGGCGCTCCACTGCCCGGGGAGAATGCTGAGGGCATATGAGGCTACTGTCAGATGAAAAGGACCACAATGATCTTTACAGTACCACTGTGATAGCATAATGCGATCGACATTAAGGGGACACTGATGAGTTTGACCTTGAATCCTCCTACCTCCAAGACTTCTTATGGTCATCCACGAGTTCTGAGACGCCACCCGAATGAGATCGATCTTGGCATGTGAACTTGCGCGATACGGCTACACCAGGATAACGCGCCGGCACAGAGAGCCCAATCAGAATGCATTTTGGCAATCCAGCTATCCAGTAATCGGCCACGGTGATGATGTTGATAGTTTCATTTGCCCTGATTTCTCACCCTGGGACATGCAGGCTACCACCAATCGCATATCACACGCAGCCGCCGGCACTGATCACGTGAAAATACGCTAACCCTTCTGAGTATAACCTCCCCGGCAGTAAACCCGTGTACTCCAAGCTGTCAACAAGTTAAATAACCCCTTTTCAGCATCGATTCGAAGCCATCAAACCCTCCTGGGCCCAAATCGCTAAAAATGTTAAGCATTGCCAAAGAGATAGTGGTGATAAAGCAGACAATCGGAGAGCTGAAGGTAACCGTTGAGTCGCACATCGGACACCTCAGAACTGGGCGTAAACACGCCAAACACTTGCGGGTCGGCGAACCTTCTCGGGAGGAGCCGACGTGGGCGTCCACTATAAGACTTCTCTTGGACAAGTGCTCAACTAGTATTCACAATGTTGAGGAAAGGCTTCAAAAACATCCCGACCTATACGATAGCGACGAATCCAACAGTCAGTCGTCTCCCGAGGAGAATCGTCCGGAATTGGTTGAAGAGCATCATTCAGTTCAGAACAACAGCGGCCATGTTCCCACCACTCTGGCTACTAGTGATGGTCAGACACTACATACCTCTCTAGGTCCGGTCGATACTCTCGTTGCAGCAAACGGTACCAGATCTTGTCAGTTCTCTAGCTTCATTCCTTACAGCATTGAGGATGGAGTCGTTGTTCTCGCTCCCTCCAGCTCTCAATATCGTGACATACCGTTGCTACTCTCGGAGGCTCAAAAAATGGGGGCTCGTGAAACAGGAGTCTTTAAATACCGACTGCCCGATGATCTTGACTTAGCTACCCCGGCTGTCAGCAATGATATCATGAACGTGTCGAGATTCTCCTCTTATTTTGACTCCAGGGGGCTTCAACGCATATCCAGAACCGAGCAAATGGAGACAATCATGACCGGTAGTCTCGAGGCACAACCTGCAGACCCAGCCAAACTAGCCGAGATCTTGGAACAGCGCCTTACGGATCCTGAAGCCATGAGTAGAATCCGTTACTGTACGGATATTCCCGCACGAACAGCAGAAGACCGCCGTCGCCTTGGCTTGCCTAAGGAGTCGCCGATTTGGCCTGTGAAGGACAACCAGTTGGAGCGAACCAGAGACCAAACCCCCGGCATCCACTGGCCATACGGGTATATCGCCAATGAGTACGGCTCATTATTCGCCACTCATATTGAGGACGGGGAGTTGGTATCCATGAACGCTATGCACGGCGGGTCAGCGACAGTATGGAATGTGGTAGCTCCGAGTGACCGCTATCTTATCGAAGGTCAGGTCACAGGAACATGCGCACAGAAGGTACGCCACGCGTCTCTTTGGATGCGCCGTTCGGATCTAGAAGCCATAGGTGCCTCATTTGTCACATTTGCCCAACGTCCGAGAGAGGTGGTGGTCGTGTGGGGAGATGCCTACCACGGAGGTGGCACTACTGGGCCCAAAGTCGCTGAAGCCGTCAACTATGCCCCTCCCAATTGGAGCATCAAAGGCTATGCTGAGTGTGGCTCGGAATGCGATGGCTTTCCTATTCCGAACGCATCGCTCGAGTTCCGCGATGCGGACACCCCACAACGCGAGCAATGGGAAGACCTTGCACAAAGGAACCAAACGATAACGTCATCAAGACGCCAACACGCCGTTTCGCGCGCCGGGGAGCCCGCGGCAAAGCCTGCGGTTGATGGAGGCTTGCGAAAAAGGTCCCAGGATGCCCCAACCCCGTTAGAAAGGCGGCCAAAGCGGGTCTGCGTGGCGCCGTCTGCCACAGTCGCTCATAGCGGTCCTTCCAGCAACCTTATTTCCCACATGGTGCAGGCCATACACTGCAGGGACGCCATCCTACAATTCATGGATATTGTTCGCGGTCGCCGCTCAATTGATCCTACAGTGTTGCGAACGAACCAGAACGACGGCGGGATTTCGATTCTAAATGCCCTTGATGAAGTATCGAACAATATAAAGTATCATCAATTTCTAACTCGCTTGCATCAAGCTCGCCTTGCTCAGGATGCGACGAAGTACATGGGAAGCCGTCACCGAGTCCCTAAAGGTCTGATTTCAAAGATTCTCCGTGGCACAGGAATGACCGCCCGTCAATATCATTACCATAGAAGCCAAGGCGAAGGATGGCAAAAGTACCAGGAGGTCTTCCCTGGCATCCTTGGCTTTCTTCTCTTTCATCCCATGTCATTTCAGTTTTCCTCACAAGACTGGATTACTCTGTCAAAAGTCGAACTCATGGCCCTCAAAGACCAAGTCAATCCAGAACGCATCGCGACGCTGTGCACAGCGGGAAAGCTATTCGAGAAATCACTCCTGGAACATTCCGCCGATGACGTCGATTATATGTGGGAAAATACGAGCGCACCCGTGGACAAACTCTCCGACAAGGATTTGCTCGCTTCTCTGCAAATGTTTCCGTCAACAGATGTTAACATATATGACAAAGATGCGTACCCAAGACGGCCAAAGCCCAAGCGTTGGCCCACCAATTTATATTGGCCGTGCGACGACCCGACCTCGGTGTCTCCGTCTGCTAGAACACAGTGTGAACTGTGTGACGAGAGTCAATGTGGATGTACCAACATTCGTCTCGAAACACCGCCGCGAATTCGCATGTACGAGGGCAAAGGCCGAGGGTTGCAAGCTGTTGCCAGGGACGCAGGTCAGGTCGCTCACAAGAAAGGGGATATTATCGGAAAATTCACGGGTGTTTTTACGTCTCCGAAGGCATGTAGCAATGGAAGATGTATCGAGGTTTTGAGGCATGATCTCGATGACACAAAGCCCGTGCTTGTAGCACTGATAAACTGCGAGGATCGAGGGAACATCTTTCGGCTAATGAATTCTGATTGTGAGCCCACGGTCGAAGTGTTGGGGATGGTTATTTCTGGTAGGTTCGAGCTAGTGGTCCGGGCTCAAAAGGATATCCGCGATGGACAAGAACTGACCTTTAACTACGGTCGAGGCTACTGGGGGGAAAAGCCATGTCCCTGCCCGAAATGCACACTACGTAGGTCACGTGCTCATAACTACGTCGACGTAGTTATGAGCACGTGATGTTAAACTTTGAACACTACCATGAAATGCTTAGAAAATAGTTCCGGGAAGTGCGCAGTAGTAAAGCGTTATGAGCTAGCATACGCAGCTTACAATGCCCTTTGGGCCTTGCTACTGCCTAATTCGAAGACCTCAGTTGAACAGAAGGCATCGGGATCCTTAGAGTCTATAGAATATCCCATAAGTCAAGCCCCACTGGAATACACAGGAAATTCGATTCGCACTGTAGGACAAAGCCATTACACAAATATATGCAAGGATCTAGTGATCAAAGTTGGGGTGCTTACAAGACTTGCTTAAAAAGAGAGGAAGAGTCTGTAAACGTATATGCCTCCCGTCCCGCGGGGCTTCCATTTTGTGACGTTGCAGCACGACCTCAATTCTCACTGTTGATCCCACCATCGGGGTTCTCTATCTCTTCCGCTTCTCCTTGGGTAGAATCACCATCGTTATCCGAACCAAACAACATGTCGTCTTCCGGTGTATATACATCTTCGAAAGAGTTGCCGCAATTATCATGTGCGGATTCCATAGGAGAAGGAGGTTCACGAGGAGAATCGACTTCTGCTAGTGATGGCGATAGATTGGGTTTTTTTTGTAGAAAAGCTTCATCCTTCTGGTCACGTGGATTCTCTGTGAAGTTGCCTTTGGTATTTATGTTGCGTTGCTCGAGCGGGTATTTGTTCCAGTACTCTGCTTCAGCCTCGTAGGGAACAGAGGAAGCAGACTGCCAAACCGGGCGAACCTTTACTAGATAATGTAGACGACCGTGCAATACACGATGTGCTAGAAGGCACTCGGAATGCCACGACTCTAAAGTGGGCCTCGGTGTCCGATGTGATGAAACACTATCATATGCCCTCCTCGTTTCCGTTTCAATTGTTGAGCTTGCGGCACTATGACGCTGCTGAAGAGCTTGTGCCTCCATCTTTACCATGTCTCGGTTGGGGTGTCTTAATACGATGCAAGGATAATCGCGTTTCCTAGATTTATAGGATTTCTTGCGCGACCTTCCCACGGTTATACGTGGTCGCGGCTGCCCTGACGATTCCGGTGGGGATATCGCGGCACGGAAGGTATTGCAGAATTAGCTGCGTACGTCATGTTCTCCCATCCAAATTGATTGAGGAAATGACATTAGTTACCCAAAACTATGTTCGTCCTCTGGAACATGTTGTACGGTACATATGCTCCTGGGATTGCCCACCTTCTATTTGCCTTTCCTTGTAGCAGTCCAGCATGGCACTACAGGGTGATGGATAATGTCGCTTGTTGTACTTTAGATGTTGTAGAGCTGGAAGGGCAAGGACCTGAATAAGAAAACTTTTCGTTTCATTCCTGCAATTTCTTCATAACTTTTCGAGGAAGAGTATTACAGTATGAGGTTGAACTTGACATCTCTATGAAGGAGCTACCGTATTGTGACACACTTGTTAATGCTTCTTGGAGGAATTTGTATTACTCGAGGTCGGCTAGCTTTCACCATTCGCCTCTCTTGGGCCATACCCACGGTGAATTCCTGGTCAATTTCACAAAAGACGCCCTCCTTCGCATCCAAGTGCTCTGAAATTATATTAGTCCGTAAAGAGAGCTTGCTGATGCGAGTACTGAGGGCCTTACGTGTCGTTGCTCTTCGGCTACTCTCCAGAACCTCAGCTAGTGACTGAAAATACTGTTTTGGAACGCTCTCAAGGCCAAAGGTCCTATCTAGGTCCACAAAGCTATGACACTGTGGCTCCTTTTTTATATGATCATCGAAGGTGCATGACAATGATAGGGGGTTAGGGCAACTCTGGATTCTTGGACCTTTATTAGATTAGACAGGTTAGCAACGCCAGACTCAATTTGGCGACGCTAATATACTTTCAGTCTCTGACGAATCCGTCTCGTTTTTGTGCTGATTTGCCATTTCTGACTTGCCCAAGTGTTCTAGTAGATTGATGGTCTAATATAAGAGGACAAAAAAATGCTCGGAAACCATTTCGTTCATTAAGAGGTAGTAGGAAAAAGATATTTGAATCGAGAACTTTAGACGAGAGATACTATGGTATAGCTATCGCCCAGGAAATGTTGGCCAAAGGACTTAGTCTGATATAATACGCCATTTTTGCTACACTTGTAGTTCCTGATAGAAACCACAATTTCTTTAGGTAAAATAGCTCTAACGGATCACTATTTAATAGCAAAGACGCAGACGAATGTTCTCATCAATATATCACGTCAGCAATACTCATGCATCATGCAACAGCTCGGAATTATATGTATACTTTCATTAGTTTTGCTCTCTCACGCCAAGCTATATCTTGCCTCGTCACGTCGCTATGACCCTATCAGACGGTTTGTCTCAACGATAGGTGGCCCGCATGCGGGATATTTTGTCAACAATACTTACGAGTCCAACATTGGATTGTCAGTCGCAACTCAAGAGCTCGAGCTTGGAGCTCAACAAAAGTCCAAGGTTGTCGTCAATAACATAGCGAATAGTAGTGAAGTCAATATGTACGTGACCGGAAATGACTTGACCAACAACCTTGTCATCTTAACACCGAATGGACAATGGTATTATCCCACTGTGAATGGCTCCCTAAATGTTCCAATGAAACTGTCTTCGGATGTCATTACCATCCCCGTACAATGTACCAGTCCAGCTATAGAAGTTCGGCTTCCCAGTCCCGTATCAGCGGGAAGGATTTGGTTCGCACACGGTGATCTGGAGTTTTCAGTTGTCAGGACCCAGGCCAGCAGCGCCTCGCTTGTCCAACCTTCTCTGACCTATGCCAATACTTCATGGGGTTTCGTAGAGTTCACGACCACCCCGGAGGAGGGTTTATGGGTCAACCTCAGCTTCGTGGACTTTGTCGGCATAGCCTTAGGCCTAGAACTGGTAGGTTTTAGCCCAGAGAATACCACTTCAGTCTCACAGTCGGCCTTGGGTCTGCATTCAAGCGCGATAGACACACTGTGTCGACGCTTAGCCGACCAAAGTATTATCGACGGCTATAGCTGGGGAGATTTATGTCTGAGAAATTCAGATTCTCGCCCGGTTCGGGTACTCTCTCCGACTTCTTATATTCAGGCGAACCCGGAAGCTTTTTCAGACTATTGGACATGTTATATCGAAGAAGTCTGGACACGGTACACCTCTGAGAGTCTAATCATCTATCCCCACTCTCAGGATTTGGGGAACATCTCTTGCGGGGTTCAGGATGACCTTCTTATCTGTACAGACGCGAACGGAACAGTTGAAGACTTTGGGAAACCATCGGCAAAAGACGTTTTTGGGTGCAACAGTGGCCCATTTACTATCACGGAGAACTCCAGCGACCTGTCTCGGGCAGTTGTACCACGACTCTGCGCCGGCATCAACCGGTCTACTCTACTCCTTGGCAACTCTAGCTTTCAGCCGAGTGGCATCCCTCCCAGCTTATACTATACCGGCAACGTGACCAATTGGTATAGTAAACTAGTCCACCAATTGGAGATCGATGGCAAGGGGTACGCATTTCCCTACGACGATGTATCGTCGGTCGATGGAGATGACAGTCAATCG